CTGCTGAAACTAGTTTGAAAGGATCAGAATACTCTCAGAATTAGAAATATCGAGTGGGTTGGTTTGGTTTTTTTTTTTTTTTCTTTTCTGGAGTTACCATACAGACTTCCCACAGAGTCGCATTCCGAAAGTTAAAACCACTGATGTCCCCTTGCGATGTCTGGTGACCCATGCGTGGTGTGGCAGGATCAGCAGCACGGGTGGGAAGAGAAATTGTTCATCTGCATATGTCATGCTCCTGCTTTCAAGAAGAAGCAACTCCAGATGCTCCCTCCTGGGGATCTGGATAATTGTAGAGTAACTTTAGATGTAAGTAAATGCCTGGGTTTTTGTGGGAGGCAGTGGCTGCAGGGCTGGGAGCAGTGCTTGACTAAAATACATAGACTAGATACCTTGTAGAAGTGGAATCGGCTCTTGTCTCTGCTGAAAACTCTTTTTCTGCTATTTGGGGAAAAATCTGGGGGGTTTTTGCCTTAGAAAATGGTGCTCTCTGGACTCGCTGTTTGCTTCTGTGGCTGGGTTGGCCGGAGAGGGAGTGCTGTCATACCAGCTGGCGTGATCCATGACCTTTCTGTTGCTGTCTGGGTGTTTTTAGTGCAAAAAGAAGCAGCCAGCTCCTGTGGTTGTGGATCCTCGGGATGGCTGAGGTGGCAGGGACCTCTGGAGATGGCCTGGTCTGGCCTCCTGGAGCACCAGGCATTGGAGCTTTTGAGCACCTCCAAGGATGAAGACTCCACAATCTATCCGGACAGCCTGTTCCATGTTTACCCTCACACTAAAGAAAGTTGTTGGGTTTTTTTCTTATGTTTGAATGGGGTTTCCTGTGTTCCAGTTCATGCCCATTTCCTTGGGCCCTGTCACTTGGGAAGAGTGCTGGATTCTTCTTTTCTCCCCTGCTAGGTCTTTGTACATGTTGATGTGATCCCCCCAACCTCCTCTTCTCCAGGCTGGATGATCCCACCTCTGCCAGCCTCTCCTCGTGCAATAGGTGCTCTGTTCCCTATAACCTCCTCACAGTCCCTTTCCCTGGGCCTGCTCCCGCACATGCCAGTCTCTCATATACCAGTGACCCCAGAACTGACCCCTCCAGTCCCCTCACTCTTTGCTTCCCTGCTGTATTGTAGGTGATCCTGATGGATGAGGAGCTTGCTGAGATCTGCAGGAGTGGGGCTGCAGCTGGGGGGCGAGGATGGCATCTCCTGGGGCAAGGTGTGGGCTCATGGAGTTTCCTTGGTGCAAGTTTTCCATTGTAGCGGTGGTTTATTAACCCTTGGAGCAGGCGCCTGTGGCTCTTTTGAGCTTGGACTGCTATCAAACACGGTTAGTTTGGCTATGGAGATGGGTGCATTCATCTGCTGCGCCATAGAGGTTCCCAGCTGCAGGGAAAAACTCTTCCCATTTTTTACATGCGGTGGCTCATTCCAGAAGTCAGGTGCTCAGCCCTCAGCCAGCAGCATTATGGGCTGAAACAGGGCAATTGAGTTTCTTTAGCGCTGCTCCCAAGGGGTATTGGGGTAGGTTTGGTTAGGACTAAGGAGAAAATCCCAGCCCTGCTTTGTCACTAACTCCAGTTTTAGGCAAAGAAGGTACTTGTTAAACTGGAGCCCTGGAAATCCTGCCAGGAACTTGTGTCTCCCGGCTTTTGCTTTTGGTGGCTCATGCCAACGAGGTTATCCCAACCGGAATGTGGTAGCGGGCGGGACGGAGCACATCCAGCCTGCTTTTGGCTGTGGTCACCAGAGCTGGGTCTTTAACAAGTTTGGGATAAAACACCCGTTTCTCACTAATATTGTGAGGAAGGATGGATCGATTCGGAGGGCGTTGGCTCCGGTTGTGCTGCGAGGCCCTGTGGCTTCCTCGGCGCTTGCCAGCGCAGCCAGCTGGGCCGTGGGAACATGCCCAGAGCTGGAGAGCAGTCGGTCTCGCGCCTGGGAGCCTCGGGTGTGCATGGATGTTCCTGGTGCCCTCCTTCCTGTTAAGGAAAAGGGGTGGAAGGAG